GATTACAAGAGTAACAAATCCCTCACTCAAAGACTGAGTACTTTAGAAAAAATGTGCCACGTTCATAGATGCAAAGATTGAATAAAGCATGACAGCAACTTTCTCCAGGTTAACTTATAATCTTAATGCAATTCTCACCAAACTTGAATGGAGGATTTCACGGACTTGACAGGCTGATCCTAAAATGTGTACAAAGACCTAACGGGCCAAAGAAATTCTGAAGAATAAAGATGCCCAACTGGGGGACGGGCTCATACTACCACATAATAAGACCATTATAAACCTGTAGTATTTAATACCTGAGGTATTTGTGAGAAAATAGACAAAGATACTAATGGATGATTTAAAAAAATTTGGCTAAAAGAGAGACTCATATGTATGTGGGAGCATACTTTAAGACAGAGGTGCCATTAAAATGACTTGGAAATGTTGCTCCCAAATACCCTAAAATAGTTTCCAGTGGATGAAAAGAGTTAAATACTCTTCCAAAGCCCCCCCCCCAAAAAAAAAACGAACAAAAAAAAAAGACTGGAGAATATAGACAGTTGATTATTCACAGTAGTTATGTTATATGAACTCTTCGTGAAGACTGAATTAGCCAGAGCTGAAACATTGCTCCTTAGGGAAATACAGTCACATTTTTGTCAAGTGATCAATACATACCTTGTTTTAAGTGTGCTTCTGTTGAAGGAAATCTCATTTATTGCATATCGGTGATTCATTAACCCTGAACTTATGGCCAGCAGCACTATCACATGTGCCTAAATTAATCTTATTTAACACATTCTTTTTCTGTAAGCCATCTCGAAGCCTTCTTGTAATTAAGAACACCAGGCAGCACTTCCACAGTCTGCTTGGAAACCATTTTAAACAGCAAAACCACCAGCAGGAATGCGAAAAACATGGCATTAGCTTTATTTTCAGAAAGACATTTGTCTACAGTCTGAGAGTTGAAACACGACCACCGTGCCACCTTGTTTGACCTCAGCTAGGAAGATATGTAACACCTTTGCACAGGGCCACATTGCATATATTGACTCTGGATTACAAATAAATTTTAGTGAGTAAGCAAATTTGCAAACATAGGATTGACTAGTAAGAATTGACTGTACATATCTCTAGGGCCGGAGAGGATTTTCCTGAAGCTACAAAAATGCACACTATACAGGAAAAGTCTGACAAACTGAACAAATAAAAATTTAATTTTTTCCCTGAAAAGAAATGCTAGAAGGGAACTACAAAAAATCAAGTCACAGGCTGGAAGATCTCTGCTTCACAAATAAAGAACCCTGCATTCGTATCAAGAATAATTTTAGGTCTTTTCAAGGAGACAGCAAGATGAGCAGAAGCAGCCGCACATGTTGGGCAAGTTCACCTACCATGGTGTGGAGTGGACCAGCTGCTGGACGTGTACTTGGGCCCCTGAAGTAGCAGTTCATAAGACAGCAGCCTGACCAAGGCCGACGGCAAAGCAACACTTGTTGCTGAAGCGCCTGTGCAAAGCCAAGAAGGCGGGGCCATGGAGAAGCCAGAGAGGGTGCAGACACACACCTGTGGGACAACAACAGGGGCCAGGGAGATGGCCAAGTAAAATAAGCACTTGCCTGGCAAGAGCAAGGCTCTGAGTTCAATCCCTGGTTCCAAAACAAACAAACAAACAAAAAACCAGACACACACCTGTGGGACATGATCATCCTGCCCAAGAGGGTAAGCAGCACAGCTGGCAACTTTTATCTAACACGAGTTATGCTAAACCCCACTAATTTTTTCAATGTTTCTGTGCATGTGTATATCACTGTTAATATTTCTTGATTACAAATGAGATTGAGGAGCATTTGTAATCAGTTTATTGGACAGTATGTTTTTGCCATCTGTAAAGTGCTTGTTCTTATCCATTGCTAATTTTTCTAATGGCTAGTTGTCTTTCTCTTACAACAATCCTTAGGAAAACTAAAATGAATTTTTAGGTAAAGTTTCCAACAAATACATAATTAATTCTGGAAATTAGAAGCCCTAAAGAGAAAACGAGAGCTCCAGAGGGAAACCCGAGAATAAATAACCAAATGATATTCAGGAAGCATCAGAAAAGACTCATCAGGTACTGCCAGAAGGCTTAGATGTTTCTCTAAACCACTATTTGCTTAAATTTTTATTTTTCTTTCTTTTTTTTTTTTTGGCGGAACCAGGGATTGAACTCAGGCCCTTGCACTTGCCAGGGAAGCGCTTATTCCACTGAGCCATCTCCCCGGCCCCTAAATTTTTATTTTTATTACTACATATTTGCAGGACATAATGATTGCATTTATCATGGGGAATTGGTACATGTAACATAATATATCTTAATTCTTTTTAGACCCCTTCCTCTCCCCTCCCTTCTTCCCTACCATTCCCACTTGCAAAAGGCCTATCTGTTCCCTACTATGCATCTTTTTTTTGACAAATATGATTACTTTTATTACTAAAACTTAGGATTTTTTATTCATTTTAATGAGAAAAAAGATAAAATAGCAATGAAACAGTTTCAAAACAGGTTAGTAGGGCAGTTACAATAATTAACACATTGCATATTGTTATCTTCATAGTAGTTATCCAGAGGACAGGGTGCAGACATTATATTTTGTCTAAACAATATTAGTACAAACCTTTCTTCTCAGTGAACTAAGAGAAAGTAGCTTATATCTATCCTATCTTGTGTATATATATATTTCTTTTTCTTAGTTGTGCTGATAACTCACTACTATTATGGACAATTGAACTCTATTAGGTTATTTTGCTGAATTCAAGTACCTACAATCTTTACACTGGCATCAGGTCGGAAAAGGTCCTTTAAAGACTTCTTCAAATACAGCATCTCTAACTACAATGGAATCCCCATCTCTGACAAAACAAAACAAAATAGGGGAATATGTTGAGAGCCAAGGAACCTATCTTATTTTGGATTACTAGTTGTGAAACAAGTGACTAGGCTGAAGACTCCACATTTTTTGCAGTAGCTCCTTTAGCAAAGCATAGAATTTGATCTTTAAAGTGGCAGCAGATGTGAAGTGTCCCTGCCTGTTATTTCCTGCACATAATAGCAATGACAGTACATAATTCTATTTCCCATGCTTTGGTTGAAGGCTTAGGCAACCATTAAGCCAATGAAATCCACATTGTAATTCTCATTAATTCTATTCTAGGTTTTCTGTGACCATAATTATACAAGAAAACTATATGCCAGTCTTTTTACAGCACTCCCATCAGTGCCTGCTGCTGCCCACAAGAATTTATTCAAATTAAATATTTAATCTTAGGCTACTATGAACTGGGTACTATCCGAAAAGGTCATATAGTTACTATAGCAAATCAAGAATGTTTTACTATTCATTCAGATTATCTAACATGAGTGACTGGCAATAAATAACACTAGAACATTACCTGAGAAACATTTTTCCCTAGATTTCTTTACCTTAATGTATCTTCATTCTGTGAGGTAATTCTTTTTCAAAAGATTTCCAAAAGATAAAGTTGAGTACATGAAAGCCACCTTCTCTGGTCACACCGAGAGGTTTGAGTTTTATCCATAGGACAATAGAGAGCCGGTGGAGAAGCTGAAGAAAGGAAAGATCATCTTCAAATTACAAAGTATAGACTAAGCCCATTAAAACACTTGGATGCTGGGTGGGGTAGTACACAGCTGTAATCCCAGCTACTCAGAAGTCTGAGGCAGCAGGCAGGATCCAAAGTTTGAATCTGGGTAACAGCAACTTAGAGAGATCCTGTTTCAAATAAAAAATAAATAAAAATGGGTGGAGGTGGAGCTCAGTGGTAGAGTGCTTGGCTAACATATACAAGAGCCTTGGTCCAATCTCTAGCGCTGTGAAAAATATTAGAAAAACCCCCTGAAGCTTAAGAGAAAATAGAACAAGAGAAAAAACGTATTCATAGACAAGAGATGCATATGAATGTTTTGACTAGGATTAGTAAGTTATTAGTAGTCCTAATAGTCAAAAACTGAATACAGCGGCCTGGGAGATAACTCAGCAGAATAAGCGCTTGCCTGGCAAGTGCAAGGTCCTGAGTTCAATCCTTGATACCGCCAAAGAAACCCCACCTGAATACAAAGGAAATACTTATAAACAAATGAATGGATAAACAAGACATAATATATCCTTACAATGGGGTGCTAATCAGCAATAGCAAGGAATAAATTATGAATACACATTTCAAAGGATAAACCTCAAAAACATATGTTCCAGTGAAAGAAGCCAGACGTAAGATATCGTGTATTGGACCATTCCATTTAAATGAAATACCCAGAACATCTATAGGCAGAGGTGCTTGCCCAGGGAGTGGATTGGGCGGGTAGAGGTGAAGAGGTATGGGGAAGTAACACTGGATGTGCCTGAGTGATCATATTGTTCTGATGAAGAGCCCTTAAATTGATTGGTCGCAATGGTTGCATAACTTGATACATTTCCTAAAACATGGAAGTATATACTGAAAAAGAGTAAATTAGGAGTCCGGCTGCCACGGCCTCCAATTTTAAAAAGGCAAACATGGTGTCAAGTGCTCCCAGAAAAAGGATGAGTCCTAAGCCAGAGCTGACTGAAGAGCAGAAACAGGAAATCCGAGAAGCTTTTGATCTGTTTGATGCAGATGGGACTGGGACCATCGATGTAAAGGAACTAAAGGTGGCAATGAGAGCGCTGGGCTTTGAGCCCAGGAAAGAAGAAATCCAGAAAATGATCAGCGAAATTGACAAGGAGGGGACAGGCAAAATGAACTTCAGCGACTTTCTGACCGTGATGACTCAGAAAATGTCTGAGAAAGATACCAAGGAAGAAATCCTGAAAGCTTTCAAGCTCTTCGATGATGATGAGACCGGGACAATATCGTTCAGAAATCTGAAGCGCGTGGCCAAGGAGCTGGGCGAGAACCTGACCGATGAGGAGCTGCAGGAGATGATTGATGAAGCCGACCGAGATGGAGATGGCGAGGTCAACGAGCAGGAGTTCCTGCGCATCATGAAAAAGACCAGCCTCTATTGAGACCCGTGTCATGTCTCCTGCTGCAAGCGCATGTGACTAGAGTAGTGCCCGCTGTCCTCTCAATTCCAGCTCCCCATTGCCCTGTAGAACATCAGCCGTGGCCTTGAATCTGATTTGGACTTCTGAAAGTGTTTTTCGATATAAAAAAGTTCTTTGTAAAATGATCTGCCGATTACTTTTATTCTTGACAGCAGAATGAGAGCACATCGGAGTAGGGGGAAGGGCCTCAGCGTCCCCTGCCTGTCGTTTCGGGGTCTGGTGGGGTCAGCACCAGCTGCGGTCCTCCGTCAGTGGTTCCCCTGCTCACCTGCTGCCCGAGGGCCGTGTTCTCTTGCAAAACCCAGTGAACCCTTGTGCTGGCTTTTGGATGTGTGTTAATGCTGTTTGTTTCCTCTTAAAAATAAAACATTTCTCGGTCTGGAAAAAAAAAGAGTAAATTACATGATTTGCCTCAATAAAGTCATTTTGGAAGAGAAAGTAGGCAACAAACAAATGGCGTAAGGGTGTTTGAAGGGACAGCGGAGATGCTGAGATGAGTAACACAAGTGGCTTCTGATCCCTAGGCTCTGTTTGTTTTTTGTTTGTTTTGTGGAACCAGGGATTGAACTCAGGCCCTTGCGCTTGCCAGGGAAGCGCTTATTCCACTGAGCCATCTCCCTGGCCTCCAGGGCTCTGTTTTTAATCCTCAGGCCTTAGGCATCTTCCTGCCTATTAACAGGGCATCGCCTTCAGACAGAGGCAGCTTGCAGAACTGAGCTGATTCTGGCGAAGTTGCCACTGCCTTGCACACTGCTCTGAGCTATTTCTCACAACTAGATGCTGTCCTTAGGAGCTTCTGGCTCTGGCAGACCTACTAGGGTCTCATGTTACTTTTGGACAGATCCCTTCAGTGACCAGAACCTCCCTACTACCCCCCTCCACTCTCGCCGCTGACCACCTGGCACACTGGCGACCACTCAGAGAGCTCTGAGCTACATTCTCAGCTTTGTTTTATTTTTAATTTTGAGAAAAGGCTTAAGTCACTAAGTCACCTAAACTGGGCTTCAATTCAAAATCCTTCTGCCTCACCCTCTTAGAGCACTGGGATTACAGGGGCACCTGGCTCATGAACACACTCTTAATGATGAACTGCCTCCCTTTGCCCGCAGGTGAGAGAGATGGTAGGTATAATAACATGTTTTGGTGGTCAACCTTGCAGAAATTCCTTTTCATCTCCCTGATCTTCAGTCTTCTCCTTTGTGGGATTGCGTGAGGACAAAATGAGAATTCTTGTAAACTGCTCAGTTCAGAGGCCAATGCACTGTAGGGAAACAAAATAGGCATATCTGATTTCCTTTCGACCTCAGGTGAGAGACCTGAGTCTCTCTACGTCCTGACATGTGGCCACCAAACAGAATTATGGATGCAGACTCCAGAATAATTGAAAACAGGAACAGTGATGTCACATACCCTTGATAGGATATAATGAGAATGGCATTTTAGCTCTATAGTCTTCTTCCCCCTCAATCCCAATCCTAATCACAGTATAACTGTGAGATAGATATGAAGTTCTAGTTGTCTGGGGCCAGCCAGATAGCTCAGTGGACTAAAGCGCCTGCTTAGGCAGAGCACAGTGGCCAGGTTCGATCAGTGCCGGCCTTGCCCCCGGGGGCACACTGAGATGGCAATTGAGACTGGGCGTTGTGGCACGCACCTGTAATCCCAGTGCTTGGAAGGCTGAAAACAGGAGGATCACTACGTGTCCAATCTGTGCAGTGAAGCCTCGTAGACTCTGTTGACCCTATACTAAATACATAAAATGAAAGAAAGAAAAAGAAATTCTAGTTGTCTGATTCCCAAGATGTCAGGGTTCTGGCTTTTCACCCAACCTTTGGCTCACAAGCGAGTAAGCATGTTATGTAGCCTGCACATGCACAGTGGACATGTAAACGAGCAATCTATTATATAACTTTTCTGCAATTTGCTGGCTTTGTGTGATCTTCTATATAACAAAGGAGTGGGATTTTTTTTTCTCAGTATTGCTCCCAGTGCTGCTGAGCTAGTAAAGGCACATCAGACTCTCCTCAGGCCCCAGGCCTTTTCTTCAAGTGGCCTACCTACCCTACCCTATCCCGTCTTGCCCTGCCCTGCCCTGCCCTGCCCTATCCTACCCTACGCTTCCCCTACCCATACCTCTACCCCTACCCATACCCTGTCGTGCTCTACCCTGCCCTGCCCCGCCCTGCCCTACCCCTACCCCTACCCTGTCCTGTCCTGTCCTCTCCTAACCTATCCAAGACAGGGTCTCGAGCTGCTAAATTACCCAGTTTGGGCTTGAATTTAAGAACTTCCTGCCTCAGCTTTCCAGAGTGCAAGGCTTCTAGGCATGTACCACCACACCTGGCTCCTAAGGTGTGTTTTAGAATATATATTTTGGGTAGGATTTGTGATAAATTTATGCTGTGTCAGTATACTTTAAGTTTCTTGGGCTTGGGGCTCATTAAGATTTTTCAGCCTGTAAGAGTACAATTTTTATTAAATTTGGGAAATGTTTGTCCATTATTTATTCAAATATTTTTCCTGCTTCTCCTTCTTGTGGTCCTATAATTACACATATATTAGACATCTTAAAGTTGTCCCAAAGCTCACTGATGCTATGTTTATTTTTTAAAAAAATCCCTAGAGCCGGCCAAATACCTCAGCTGATTAAAGCACCTTCAAGCAGGTACAGGGGCCGGGGGTCTGATCTCCAGGCCTGACATGCCTATTCTGCCCCCAGGGCATGCAGAGAGGGTGACTGAGACCGGGTGTGGTGGCACGCACCTGTAATCCCAGCACTTGGGAGGCTGTAAACAGGAAAAATACTACGAGTTCAGTCTAGTAGTGAGACCCTGTAGACCCTTCCCTAAAAATACAAACAAACACACAAAAAAAAACCCTATGTTTAATTTTGCATAGTTTCAATAACATCCAGTTGTCTGATCTTTTCTTCTACAATACTCAATCTGCCATATCCTATCCAAGTATTTTCCACTTCAAATATTACAACTTTCATATTTAGAATTTTATTTGGACCTCTTTCTATTATCCATGTCTCCTTGACTTCTGAACATATGTATTTGAGCTGTAACAAGTGTGTTGATACTCTTGTCTGCCAGTTTTAACATCTGTTTTTGGGGTCAGTTTCAGTTGATTTTTCTTCTCATTAGTATATTTCCCTGATCCTTTGTTGGTCTTGTAATTTTCATTTGGATGTCAGACACTATAATCTTTCCATGTTTTGTATGCTAGATATTTTTGTAGACCTACAAATATTCTTGGGCTTTGTTCTGGGACACAGTGGAGCTATTTGGAAATAGCAGTACCTTTTTGGGTCTTGCTTTTAAGATTTGTAAGACAGGTGGGCACCAATCATATCTAAAAATAACAGTCACCAAAGTACCCTAGTCAGTGGGCTCACCAGGACTGCCATGGATGTGAGAAAGGGATGTTCCTATGGCTGCCTGAAACTTCTGGAAACAATGTGAACATGAAGTACTTCCTCCTCTCAATAGTTGCCACAGAGGGGCTTCCCTAAGGAGAGTCCTACATGTTCCAGGGGACCCTAAGAAGAATCTTAGGTCCAGGAGCTTAGACAAGTGTATCCTCCCACCTTGATGAAATGAGCCCTTCCCTGGGGTTCTGTTAGGGACCCAAGATCCTTGCCTCATAGGACTGCCAGTGTTTAACCTTATGTGATCCTTGGGCCTGACACAGCCTTCTTGGGTAGTTTCTCTCTCTCTCTCTCTCTCTCTCTCTCTCTCTCTCTCTCTCTCTCCCATCCTTGCCCCCTCACTCCCCCCATGGTAAACAAACAAAAGCTCCTTAAATCATACTAAAATTGACCATTTTATATTACAGTGATGCACAACAGATCTCCAGAACTTTATCTTCCTCAATTGAAACTGTATACCCATCAAATACCAACTCTTACCTCCCTCCCTTCAATCTCATGCTACCACTACTGCTTTAGATTCTTATAAATCAGACTACTTATGATACTTCATAAAAGTGGAATCAGGCAATGTTGAAAAAAACAGAATAAGACCCAAAAGCTACAATTCTTGTTGCATAGGTCCTGCTTGACCTTGGTCTTAACCATCCAGCAGAAAAGTATAAAAACAAAATAGAAGAAGTAAAGCCATGCTGTTATGTTGAGCTGTAGGGGACTCAGGTCAACAATTTCTGACATTGCCAGTCAAGCA